GCCCTGTGGGCGGGTCCTGGAGCCCTGTGGGTGGGGTCCTGGTGCCCTGTGGGCGGGTCCTGGTGCCCTGTGGGTGGGTTCCTGGTGCCCTGTGGGCGGGTCCTGGTGCCCTGTGTGGGACACGCTCTGTCAATGGCTCTGGGCCCTGAGCCTCTTCCTGGAGGCCAGAGAAGAGGAAGGGAGCCCTGGTGCTCAGTGACCTGGTCTCCGGACCCAGGGACAGAGCGTCCCATTGTGACTCAAGGATGCACAGGGCCCTGGGCTTCTCTTTTTCCTGACAATGTATGTGACCACCAGGCGCGTGGCGCACGGCTGTCATCCCAGCAACTCAGGAGGCTGAGGCAGGAGGATCCTAAGTTTGAGGCCAGCCTCAGCAACGGAGCCAGACCTTAATTAGTGACACCATGTCTCAAAATCAGAATAGGAAGGACTGGGCTGTGGCTCAGAGGCAAAGAACCTCTGGGTCCAATCCCCAGCACCCACCCGCCCAAGATCGCTTCCTCAGTGAACTCTCCACGGTTGTCGATGGCGACTGTCAGAGCAGCTCCCATCGCTCTCAACACTCGTTGAGAAAAACAAGCAAACCTTTCCGTGCACCAAATATTTGCTTCTCAATTAAAAAAAAAAAAAAAATCCAAACACCTTCCTCTTGGCAGCCAGCACTTCTGTTCCAAAGGCCGTTCCAGTAGCTGAGGCCAAAACAAACAGTTCATTTCCCCCCGAGGCCCAACGGCTCCAGAGCGTTGGCGAATGTCTCCCGCTGCCTAAGAACACAGAGACCCTCTCGCGGCTCAGGAAGGGCCCACACGCTCCCCCTCCCTGTGCCTCTCCCTGTGCCATCTCTGCCCCTCCCTACGGGTCTGTCATTGCTCCCTGGGGCTCAGAGTCCTGGGGCACAGGGGACAGGGCGGGGCCCCCAGGGTGTCCCCAGGATGGTGGAGGACAGATGTCAGGTTAGGCCCTCTGCAGGGGAAAATGGGCGGGTCTGGGGGTTCCGCCGCCAGGAGGTGTGAGGACGGTGGGGGGGGTCCTAGCAGGGCGTGGCCTGGGGCGCCAGAGGGACTGGGGGATGGAGGTCACCTCTGTGGACTTCAGAGTGGACCTACTGGACGGAGGCCGGGCCTCCCCACTCCTCCTCCTGCCCAGGCCTTTAGGAGCAGGAAGCCACTGAGTGGGGGTCAGGCCACCGCTGCCTGGGCACATGGTCACTGGTCAGCATCAGCTTGGGCATGGCCGCCCACACGGGGAGGAGGGTGGACGGGAAGTGGAGAGATGGGCATGATGGCTGGGCTGGGGTGGATGGGGGTGGGAAAGGCAGGAGGGAGCCAGCAGCCTGAGGAGGGTGGGCATCGGGCAGGAGACCTGTGGGCACGTGGTGGACATCAGAGTGGACTCCTGGGGCCATGCCCGTGAGTCGGGGCGAGGATGGGGTGGCTCGGGGGTGTTGTGTGGGGAAGGGGTCGGTGTGTGGTCTTGGGTGGGCGGTGGGGGGGGCAGTGGCTGCGTCGTGGGTGGCAGGCGTGGACCGGGGACCGCAGGTGACCTGTGGGGAGAGCCGGGTCGGGGCAGGTGCGTTTCTGGTCCTTGGGTGACGGCGGCAGGGGTGGCCAGTGTGCGTCCTGGCCGGCGAGCCGATGGGTGGCCGTGGGGACTGGGCCGCGGTGGCCGGGGCGGGAGGCCTGGGAGTGGGCGCCCAGCGCTGACCGCCCTTTCTCTCGCAGGACACCAGCCGCACCTGGGGGACTCCTGGCCCCGGAGCGCAGCCCAGGAGGCGCCCGAGCTGAACCGCCAGTGCTGGGTCCTGGGACACTGGGTGTGACCGAGCCCAGCCCAGCCCCAGACGCCCACCGGAGCCTGGTCTGGGGCCTGGCACCCGGTCTGTGTGGACTCGGTGGCCGTGAGGGGACGCCAGGCCTGTCCTGCCACCACCCGGGTCTCGAGCCCCAAGTCGCGCCAGGGTGGCCCCGGGGGCTGCTGGCCACACAGAGGGGACGCCAGCTCTGGACTCCTGCCACCACCGCACGCAGCGCCCCGCTGGGCACGGCCCAGAGAGACCCAGGACACTGGCCACTGAGTGCTGACCCCCACGAACAGCCAGGAAGCTGAGGAGGTGCCCAGAGGGACAGACCCTGTAGGAACGTGGGGAACTGAAGGACAGGGCAGCGGCTGGCACCGCGGAGGGCCACCCCACAGGCACACAGCAGGAGCTCAATAAATGCTTGCTGAACCTGACTTCTTGTGGAGTGTGGCAGCCAGTTGCTCTCTGGGCGATGGCTGTCCTGTCATTGTCCCACCGAGGGTCAGTGAGACCTAAAGTGCACTGGGCCAGGGCCCTGCAGAGGGACGCGGGAGCCTGGGGCAGGCGGGAGGGACGGGCCGGAGGGCCGCCGAGGGCTCCAGGGGGGGACAGAGGTGGCCCTGAGCCGGAAGGCGGAGCCCACTCCCCCTGAGAGCCCAGCGATGTCACCGCCCTGGCCCAAGGGACCCTTCCCCTGGGGCCACCTCTCTCTGAAACCCCAGGTGCAGACGCCGGCGAAGCGGATCCCCGTCCTCAGAGTGACTGTGGGGGGTCACAGATGAAGCCACCTGCCGAGGACTCCAGAGCCCGCCAGCGGCCGAGCTGAGTCAGACCAGGGCTCCGTCCCCCAGGCTCCGTCCCCAAGGGCCCCCAGGGCTGTCGAGAGGTTTCTGCTCAAGAGAACACAGTGTCCACTCTCCCTCGTCCACCACCCGGACTCCTCCACCATCCACCCACCCGCCTGTCCACCCGTCCATCTGTCCACCATCCACCCACCCGCCTGTCCACCCGTCCATCTGTCCATCACCCACCCGTCCACCTGTCCACCCGTCCATCACCCACCCATCCCACCCACCCTCCGTCCCTCACTGGTTGTCCCCGACACCAGATGTCCCCACCATTCTCCAGGTGTCACCTTCCTTGTCACCCCCCCCCCCTGTGGCTCCCCCAACCCAGGGTGTCGTCGGAGCCTCCACGGTGACCAGGCCCTGGGGCGGGCACTCGAAGTGGGCCCTGGAGAGGCCGCCTGTCGTCACTCGGTGCCCACAGACGGCGGGACAGAGGACGGGCCGCCCCAGCTCAGTGTCCCCAGGCTGCTTGGCCCCTCTGGTCTCAGTTCCCCCTCCACTGAATGGACGTCCTGGTCAGAGGGCCAAGGGCGCGGCGGCCGAGCGCTTGGCACAGACCTTCGCCGCAGGCGCTTCCTTGGCACTTACTGTCACGAGGAGGGACTTGGGGCCGCGGGAGACCACGGGCGTCCCCTGCTGGGGACAGTCGAGGGAGTGGTCAGGGTGGCTCTTCCAGAAAATGAGGTCCAAGCCCAGGGGCAGGGGATGGAGGCCTGGGCAGCAGGGAGGGCGGAGGGACAGCGCGGCCGGTCACCCAGGGGCAGGCGTGGGAGGAGCCGGCCAGAGCTGTGGTGGCTGTCATCGCGGGGGTTGGTGGGGACAGCCAGGGCACTGGCTTCCGGAGGAGGCTGGGGCTGAGCGGGGCAGTGGCCACTCCCGCAGAGCAGGTGGGCAGCTGCCCGGGGGCGGGACCCTGTCCTCATCCCGCGCCAGTGGCCAGGGGCCAGGGCCTGGCAGGAGGGACGACCCACAGGACCTAGAGAGGACCCGTGGGAGGCGGCCAGCCAGGTGGCCTCCGCTGAGATTTCAGTCCTGGACGCCTGGCGTCTCGGTGCCTGGGGACAGGGGAGGCCTCGGCTGCCCACGCGCTCACCGTCCATCATCCTGTGGCCACCAGGCGTCCTTCTCCTTCCCTGGTGGAGACCCAGGACCCCCGTGGGGGGGAGCCAGGGGGAGACGGGCCAGTGACCACCACCTCGACCAACCGGCAGGACCAGGTCAGACAGAGCCTCCGGGACCAGGACCCGGCTGGCCCAGGTCACCCAGCGGCTTTATTGTCACCGGGGTCAATGGAAGTCGCCAAGAGGCCCCAGGAGACCAGGGTGACACTGGGACCATCTCCATCTCTTAACGGTCGTGTTTCTGTGAATCTGTTAGAAAACAGTGTCTCCAGCCACATCAGAGCCACTTCAGAGCCACCAAGCCACCGAGTCACAGACTTCCCGCTGGGATGAAGCCCAAGGGGCGTCTCAGTGACAGCAAAAGCGTTGGCTCAAAGGAAACATCCAACAGACAACCCTGCCCTGGTGTGTGGTCATGGCGTGGGGCGGCTTGCAAGGGCCCCTGTCACCCGGGAAGGGAAGAGGTAGGAGGGTCACGGGGCCCCTCCAGTCCCCCTGTCTCCTCCTGAGCACGTCCGGGAAGGGGCTGGAAACTAGCTATTTTCCAGTGTAACAAGAGGGCTGCTGGTTAGATAACCAGGAGCACTTCCAGGATGTTCAGGTGACTGATTCAGGAGCCACTGAGTTACTTAGAGGGAACTAAGGCCACCGTTGGCTTGGGAGGAGGGGCGTGCCACCTGGGGACCCCTGGGGAGCACACAGGGGACAGGAGTCCTTCCTCTGCGCCTGCAAAGCGCTTTCCCAGAGAGCAGTCCCCTGTGCTGAGTGGACTGGTGCTGACCCTGATGGCCTTGGGTGAGTGCCTGTGGTGTGGACACCACACGGGGCCCGACCCGAGGCCCTGCTGTCCCCTGGGCGCCCGAGCTCAGCCTCTCCGTCCCCACAGGCCTGGCTCCCTGTGCCCGGCCGTGTGCTGAGCCTGGTGGCCCCCGCAGGTGACCCTCCCAGGCCTGGGCTCCTCTGCCCAGTGGCCCCTCTTCTGCCAGGTGCAGGCCAACCTGGGGCCAGGGTTCACCCTCTGGCGGGAGGTGACGAGTTAACAGGGTTGACGTCTTCCTGGGCTGGTGACAGTGACCAGAATTGTCCCCGCCGCCCCCGCCGAAGCCACCCCGTGGCTGGCCACACGCTCGCCTCCCGCGGGTAATGGAAACGTCAGCTTGATTCATGGGCAGCGTCTGCAGCGGCCAGGGCTGAGGACGAGGCTGGCCCGGAGCACGTCCCCCAGGAAGAGCCGCTGCCGCTGGCTGTCCCCTCCTGGGGAGGAAGCCAGGGCCCAGAGAGCCGCCGGGTTGTGGAGTTAGGTGGGCCTGGGCTCAAGTCCCGCGGCCACCAACCTGCCGCGGCCTCCCTCCTCCAAGGAACACTGACCAAGGGGCAAAAGGTGCCAGGAACCGAGCTCAGGCAGGAGCTGCCCTCCTGGAACAGGAAGCTGTCCTTCCCCCTCACGGAGCACCCGGGAGACTCAGATCCTGCACCAAACCTTAAACAGTAAGAGCTCACCTCAAACAGTGACCATGTCCTGCAGGAGGGGCAGAGGGCAGGAGGGCCTGTCCACAGGAGGGTGAGGCAGGAGGAACGGCATGTGCAAAGGTCCTGGGGCTGAGAACAAGCCCCTGTGGACTGTGCAGCGAGGTCAGGACCTGCAGCTACTTCCCACCAGGCCTCTGGGGTCTGAGTCTGGGGCCTCCTGGGCGATGACAAGGGCTGTGCTTTCACCCTGAGGGACCCAGGGGGCAGCCGATAGGAGGGGTTTTAAAGGAAGACAGGACCAGCACTGCCGTGAGAGGCTCCTCTGGCTGTGTGGGGTGCAGGCCTGGGAGACGGGGTGCAGGGCAGAAATGGGGCCAGCAGATCGGGGACTGCAGCAGGGCCTGGTGGGAGTGGAGGCAGCCCTGGTGCTGGCCGATGGACGGTAGTGCCCCGGGGCCTCCAAGATAGAGACCAACCTCCTCCACGGGGGGTTCACTACATGGTCAGGCAGGAGGTCACTGGACGGGCCCCTGCCTGTCCCCAACTAGCCTGGTTCCCTTTGCTGTCACTTCTTGGGCCACATTTCACTCCGGACTGACACTTTCTGGTCCCTACCTTAGACGAAGCTGGGGGCCGCTGACACCTGCGCGCCTGGCAGGGGGCGGCCACTGGGAGGTGACCGGGAAACACGGGTCCTGAGGGCCCTGAGGCCCAGGAGGAGCCAGTCGGGCCTCTGCCTTGTGCTTGAGGCCAACCTGGGGCTCCCTGGGCCTTCGGGGTGCACCTGCAGGGTGGTGGGGAGGGCGCGGGGAGGGCGCGGTCCCCCCCCCCAGGAGTGGGGAAGGGGCGGGGCCAGTGGAACCACACAGGAGCCGATTGGCAGAGGAGGGGCGGGACATCCATCCCTGATCAGCCAATAGGTCGGCAGCCCTAAGGCCTGAGCCCTTCAGGGACCAATCAGCTGAGCTTGTCCTGGACTTTGGAGAGGGGCCAGGCTGGAGGTGGTGCCCGCTGCTCTGGGGAAGAGCCTGGGCTCAAGGGTCACGCCCCAGCCCCAAGGTCCGTCTCACGGAGCCTGTCTACACCTGTGGAGTGCGGGCAATCCTGAGACAGAGGGTCGTCCCAACCAGGAGGACTAGAGCTATGAGGGTCTCATGGTGGCCACGGCGGTGCCGTGAAGCAGGTACCCTTGGTTCACCTGCCACCTGGGTAAGGAAGCCCGGTCCAGGGTGTAAAGTCACTTGCCAAGGTCACAAGGCCCGGAAGTGGTGGAGCCTGGACTTGAACCCAGGCCTGCTGGCCCCAGGACCGTGGCACAGCATCCCCGGTGGGGGGAGGAGGACTTTCCTGGAGCATGCGCACGGGGGCTGCAAGGAGCCGGCGGCTGTCTGTGGGGCTCTTATCACCACCGAAGGAGCCGAGGCCGCTTCCTCAGCTGGGGCTGTGAGTGGCAGTCCCCCTGGAGAGCTGGGACACTGGAAAGGGTGGCATGAGTGCCACAGGGAGACGTGGGACACACCTGCAGCAGAGGACACCCCTTGGCCACTTGGGGACACACACAGCATATGGCCAGCCTGGTTTTGTTGCCCAACGGGATGCCACAGGCTTAAGCCCCAGGCCCCCAGGGGGTGCCGTGCCCACCTGGCCAAGCCCCTGCCCGTGGAGCCACAGCACTGTCCCTGTGTCCCCTCCTGCTCCTCCACGTTCACATGCCTGGGACGCTGTGAGCAGGCAGGAGAGGAGCCAGGAGGGCGGCAGGAGGCCCTGTGGCCTGGGGATCTGGAGGGACCACCAGGGGCGGGGCCAGCAGGGAACGCAGGACAAGGGTGACCTCTTCCCAGAGCAGGGGGAGCCTGAGCTCTCCAGTGAGAGGGCAGCAGCCACACGGCGACTGGACGGCACAGTGGGTACTGTGCAGGCCGAGTCCCCAGAGCGGGAGCCCCAGGCAGGGAAGGGGCCGCCTGGCCCAGGGAGGTGGCAGGTGGCCCCGGGCGT